AGTAAGAAGAATTTGAGCGTCTGTATATTTTTTATTCAAGGACACGCCTTGATCGTGATGGGCCCAATGCCTTGACGCCTCCCAAAACAACACCCGAGTGGGTTAAATTTTGCAAAAACCTGTTTGGTGGATTTTCTCTTCTACTGTGGATTGGCGCTGTTCTATGTTTCATAGCACACGGTATTCTTGCAAGTGTTCAGGAGCATCCTTCCAATGATAACGTAAGTCGAATCCTTCATTCTGGCCCGTCAGGTTACTTTCTTGGAGCCAACCTTGTTTGCAAACCTTATTTCCGTTCAGTTTTGCATATTATGGGATATTATTTATTCGGAACTTAATTTACCACTTGCCACCCACACCACATTTTTGTGTTGATACTTTGCGCACCTCAGTGAATATTTATTTTTCCGAAAGATCGAGCTTGCTAAAACTACATCAGCTAACTTCTACTGTCTTGAGAAGTCGTCACACTTACTATATTGTAGCTTTAAACCATGCATTTGGTCTTCTTGGCGTTAAAGTTAGATGTACGGGTCCCCTGTTGTTTGCACTTCCTCAACTGATGTATTGGCATGTACGACGAAGGTTGGCTTTTACATTTCCAGACTCTTCATCAAACGTAACCAACAGCCGCCTTCTAGTGTCCACGTGGATATATTTTGAAGTCTATCGAAATACTCGGCAGTGTCGAGGAACAGTTTTACTTATTATCTATGCTTCATGGGCAGCCATCTGGAATATGTGATAACTTTTTTTCTAAAATCGAGTAAGGCGTACTTCATTTTGGAGTGTATTTAATTTCAGATCTGTATTATTTTCTGCATAGCATGCAACTAATAGTGTGTATTAGTTAAGCTACGAGTAAGAATATTACGTACAAATATACGTTTTATATATTGAAGAGTAACCTGTTGAATAATGCCGCTTTGTTTCGTGCTTTTCAACATTAGTTTGATGATCTCGTAGGTAAATTAAGTTGCTATTTTACTATTTTCGTACATTCAACCTATCTCCCAGCTTTAATTCGCAATGTATTCCAGTATCCTTTGTATCTTGTTGACCAATCGTTTTGTTTATTACCGTTTCTTTTCATGCCGCTTTTGCTATTTTAGCTCTACCTGGGTGTCGTGCTAGCTGCTGTGGTCATAATTACCGGATGTTTCTCATACTACCAAGAATCAAAATCCTCGAAAATTATGGAGTCCTTCGCTAAGATGGTTCCCCAGGTATATTTCGGTCGAGTCTTTTTTCCTGTGATTTTTCAATGCTAAAATAGTACCTACGTCTCTGACTCCAGTGTGTTACTTTGATACTTAATTTGCTAGATGTTTCCTCCTGTGAATAATACTTTTACAGTCCGAGCTTTGGTTGAAACCGCATCGGCCTTTTTGATTCATTGCTATTTCTGCCTTCTACTTTTAGTTTGCTGTGGTCATTCGTGGAGGTCAAAGAGTAGATGCTCCGGCAGAAGCTCTTGTGGTTGGTGACATTATCGAGGTGAAGTTCGGTGATCGTGTGCCTGCTGACATTCGTGTTATCCAAGCCAGCTCTTTCAAGGTGCGTTTCCGTAGGCTGTGTCCAGCACCCGTGTCCCCCCTTCACTGCTCCATCTAGCCAAAGCCTGAGCCGCCACCTATATTAGACTGCACTGGCGTTAGGGGCTCACCCCTCTGCGCGCAACTGTCCCCCCCTTTTTGAAGCCGAATTCAGGCCGTAAACAAACATCGAATTGGCGCCACCTCACTTGCCTTCTTAGTTTATGCCTATTTGCGATGTTCCTGTCAGCGAACAGGTTTATTAATTATTACGCTTGACAAACAGGAAATGGCAGTACATGGACTAGCACGAACCATGAAACTCGGTATGATGTTATCTTCATTATTTCCGGTAACGCCTGCGTTCCTCCTAGAAAGGACTGAATTCGTCTGCAGCGAAAAATATGTTTTGTTTAGGTTAGAAGTTTGTGGTCAACAGCCACTAATAGGTGTAAAGTACTTCTGCGTTTCTGTGATAACCAAAGACCTTTGCACAGCACCCATCCTCCAAATTTTCTGATGTTATTTTTGCACAGTCCAGTTTGACCTTATCATTTTTATTGCCCGACTGACCTGCCTTTTAGGGCAGCACGCATGTCATAGAAATCTAGACTGACCATAGAATAGATGGCTCCGCAGCAAGTTTTCCACCAGCAGATAGTCCTGATTTTATGCAACATGCATCGGCATCTGGATTATTGTGTTTGTCCCTACTCTACCGTCCTTTCTGTCCAATAGACACATAAGTGTTCACTAGCCCGACTGCCGTTTCTTATGGAGGAGATTGACAAAAAATCCTTCTTGTCCATTCATTGC